GCGGGTTCACAATGGACGGAGCCAATCACGTCACGGCATCACAATAGACAGAGCCACTCACTGCACGGATTCTCCCCGAACCCGCCCCCCTCACGCTTTTGGTTGACAGTGGACAAGTCAGAGGTATTCAAGTAACAACACTACATGTTTCTATTTTCCCGTTTACAGTCATAAAACCTATTTTTACAACCGTCGTTTTGGCGTCAACTTTTACATTATAGAGTCGGCAACTTCCGTCTGCATAGAAGAACTTTAAAAATAAATTACTCCCTGTTATGTCTCACACCGTCTCTGTGGCGCAATTGGTTAGCGCGTTCGGCTGTTAACCGAAAGGTTGGTGGTTCAAGCCCACCCAGGGACGAACTTTATTTCTTTTCAAGCGGCGATTGAAAAGACGGAATTTAAAAGGAAAATCTGTTTGAGATACAGATATATATATTTGATAACATTTTAATATCAATATCGATCTTTCAGGTTTATGTACAGTCCATGTTTTACACCACTTTTGTGTTTTGTTTTTATTGTGAAAAAGATCCATTCTACGTAAATGGGGTACATTGTTCAAACGAGACTTAGTTTCATGTGCATGAATACAGGATGATGACTGTCTTTGACGTGTTAATTTTTGAATATTTAGACCAGATTGTGTCTGGGGGACCTGAGAAAACAAGGAGAAACTACAAAACCCAAAATGCAATTCGTTGGGAGAAACCGGATGTGTTGCTTGGCACCGGAAGCGTAATCACCCGGGCTGAAGGCTGAAAGCCTCTACGACTGTTTATATTTTTTATGAATTACGTTTGTTCAACTGAAACATTCACAGTGGACTTGCATTCAATGTAAAACCGCACGACGGTTAGGTTTTTACCAAACGACCCAGAAAAGCAACAAAAGTAAGATTTTAATTATATTTCATTACTCCGTCGAAAATAAGCCATAAGTGTTTAGCCGCTAGCTAACTCAGATTAACGTTTTCTCTTGGGCATGTTGGAAAATTAAACAATTGATGCCGCTGTACACATATTCGCTAGACATAGGTTCGTATTTAACTATACATGCTCGGGGATGCATTATAAATAAATATACTGTCGTTTAGCAGTCAAAGCTTACACTGCTAACTTAGCTGTTAGCCCAATAGCAGCAAGGCCTTCCCCCAGTGGTATTTCCAGTGATAGATAGCATAAATGTTTTTTTTCTCTTCAACTTTATTAATCAAGAGTAATTTACAAACCTTAAAGGCACATATTTGCAGTCAATGACATTGAAAATGAAAGTGCAAATACATTATAGATAAAATATAATAAAAAGTTTACAAAAATAGAAATTACATAACAAAAGCAATCATTCACAACAGAGTAAGGGTCTATTCAAGTCCAATAAATAAGTCAAATAATAAGAAAAGTTCCTCGGCATTTCTTTCCTTTTATGTAATGACATTTTATTTAAAAAAAAAAGTCCTTTATTACATCCAGTGAGGTTGGGCTTAACTTTAAGATGTTTGCATTTATGTATAGATAGCATACATGATAGACTATGTTACATGCATGTATTATATGTTTTAATCTCTTCTACTCTAAAACTGAACATTGTATCTACACCAGCTGGCCCCTCCTCTGCCTGTCACCATGCCTGCCCTTTTGGAGAGACCGAAGCTTTCCAACGCGATGGCCCGAGCCCTCCACAAACACATCATGAGGGAGAGAGAGCGCAAGAGACAAGGTACGTGCCCCTGTGTTTAACACTACACTAACCACGCAAACACTGTCACAACTGCAGAGGTACTACCCTGTACTTCTCACTGCATATATATTACATTTCACTTTAGTCAATATGAATGTGTTTCCTGACTTATTATTTGCCATTTAGTCTGTTTTCCTTCCCCAGCATCTACTCGCTATTCCCGTAAATATGCAAATCTCTCTACTCACTCAAAAATATTATGATAACATTATACTTTGTGATAAGTTTTATTGATGTCTGTCTTTTTGCAATACTGCAGGCAACTTCACAACTTAAAATATTTACTCTGGGATATTAGGAATCCATAAAAGCAATAAGCTAATATATATTTAAATGACTACACATAATCTTAAATGCAAGTTTGCATAATTGGAATTGGTGCACTTAAGATTAGAAACCCATTTCAGTACTAAATGTGTTCACATGTAGACAGTTATTACCCTTTAAGGATAAGGAAATTGGAAACAACATTCATCAAACGTGTCTAGAAGTCACTAAATTGGGTATTTTAGGGATTTGAATGTATTTTCACCATCCCTGAAACATGTGTGACCTTTTAGAGGAGGAAGAAGTGGACAAAATGATGGAGCAGAAGATGAAAGAAGAGGAGGAGAGGAAGAGGACGAAAGAAATAGAGGAGAGGATGTCTTTGGAGGAAACAAAAGAACAGGTTTGGAAATAATTATCATTTGCATTTTGGTTTGGAACAATTATATACACCATGGCAACTTGTTAACTTGTACTCTGATCCCCAACCTCGCTCTCAGGTCATGAAGATGGGAGAGAAGCTGCAGGGACTCCAGGAGGAGAAACACCAGCTCTTCTTACAGCTGAAGAAAGTGCTTCATGAAGAGGAAAAGAGGCGCAGAAAGGAGCAGAGGTAGTAAGGATGACGCAGCTTTTCAGTACTTTTCGTACATAACGGTATGACAGTATTCGGTTAATAAACTAAGCATTTAGCTGAAGTATTTTTGGTATTCATTTGCATTTTTGTTCTTTTCCAGTGACATTACAACATTGACACCGGCGAGCTACCAAACCAGCCTGCCCATGCACTCAGGGCAGCACCTTCTCAGCATTCAGGGTACGGCTATGCCTGTGGGATATCTGGAGAATTCTCTTTCTTACAATGTATGTATAACTCAACTGATCCTTCTCTTTGCCTCTCTCAGGCAGTCCAGTCAGCCACAGTCGACCTGGTGCACTTCTTGGAGAACGCAGTAAACAGCTGTTCCCTGCTGCTGTGATTCCAGTGAGTAAAGGGGGCTTTAACTCAAAGAACTGATGTCTTTCCAAAATAATGTCCATACATATTTGTTTTGTTTTCTATCTAAAATATCATGCCAAAGATATATCTCCATAAGAGTCTGATTTATAGGTTGCTGGTGATATTTAGCTGCTTTATTTAGGGTATCAATATTGTAGTGTTGACAATTGATGCTCACCATATATTCACACCATGAGAATGTTACAGATAATCATCAGGAATATTGTAATTGGCTAAGGGGTTGAAAGGTAAATAATGGAAAATCTGATCAATTCAGAAAAATACTTGCATACATACCTTATTTTAAAAACAGGTTAAGACAACACTTACTATACGACAATATTCCACATATAAGACGATACGAGTCTCATATCACAATATCAATATAATATTGATAAATTGCCCATGCCCATTTAATCCTATGTGTTTAGAAATGTCTCAGATTCCCCCTGAATTATATGTTTTAAAATGTGCTTAAGGAGATGGATATTCAGACTCCAGTCTTGCCTATAACACAGTGTAACCCTCCTCTTCCTCCTGTTAGGCTCGTCACTATCAGACCCCCGGCTTCGGCTCTAGTCCAGCAGAGCACGGACAGTTCAGCGGGAGCCAGGGGGTCCACGAGCCCTACGGGGTGTCTCAGGCCCAGCACCCCTCCACCTACGCCGCTGGACCATCAGTACCTGTCAGTTTCGCCAGCAGCTCCCAGATCAGAGGTAAAGGACACGTGTCTGTCTATAAGGGGCAGAGAGCCCAAATGATGGGTAATATAAGAAATAGTGTGCAAATTGAGTTTCTGGAGTATATTACATACACACTGTTTCTCATTTTCTGCTCACATGTGCTATTTTGGACGCTTTTCATATCAAGTATATACAAATAAAAGTTATACATGTGGGTTTTATTTCATATTTATTAAACGTAACACTAGACTTGTCGAAAACAACCACTGTCAGATTCATTGGTTTATTGAGCCGTCTGTAATATTATTGCAGATGAATGATCATCACTTCTGGAGAGGGGACAGTGGCCTGTGGGATTTTAAAGAACAACGTAGTGTACTTATATTAAGGGAGTATCCAAATGCAGCCACGGCATCTTTCTAAAAAACAAGATATTCTCAGGTTATTTTTATTCCGAAGTTTAACAGTCTTTTATTCAGCTTTACTTTGGTTTCCTGCCAGTGTGGTATGTTCAGATCCATCATTTGAACCATAAAAGTATGCTGTAATGATCGCTATGAGAAAAAGTTGCTTTTGTTCTCCCAGGTGCGTCTGCGTTTCAGGCCATGCAGTACCTCCCCCACCAGCAGGCTGGATACCCCGTCCACAGTCACTTCACCTCCCAGCCTGGTCAGTTCCCCGGTTACAGCACTCATTACTATAAATAACAGTCAATAAATACAACGTACAGTATTGTAATCAACCTGGCGTCTGTATTTGATGTAAATGATTGTTGGATAACAAACGGTGTTTCTCATGCAGGGTACATTCCTGGAGCAGGGATCCCCCTCCAGAAGCAGCTGGAACATGCCAACCAACAGTCCGGCTTTACCGATGCAGTAAGAAATGACATATCAAATTGACTCCTTCAAATCATAGTATTATTATTCGTAAGTATCAGACTGAACATCAAAATACAACGTTTGGTGTGACATAATTGAAGCAGCTAGCATAGACTTCATGACCTGCTCTGTGCTTCAGACCCTCTCTTCCTCCTCTGATTACACTTCTGCTCCGCTGTTCTGTCTCGTTGATGTTCTCACAGGGCGCTCTGAGGCCCATGCACCCGCCCACCATGCACCCGTCAGCTCCTGGACTCCTACCCACCCCCTCCATGGGGGTCCAGATCCCCACTGCAAAGGTGAAGGCTCAAAACGCCCACACACACATGACTCTTTTTTAATTCATTGTCATCACTTTCTCTCTTAACACTATCAGAAGCTTTTCCCTGAGGCCTTATTTAAATGAGCCACATTATGCTTTGTTCTCCCTTTTCTGTTAGGTTTGTGTGCATGTAAATGGGCTGCAAAGGCTCAAATTCCCTCTAGTGGGAAATTTTTTTTTAATTATTGTATTCAAATTTGACCAATCATCACAAAGCTGGTTTAGCGAACTAATCAGAGTGGACTGGGCTCTGGTTTCAGACAGAGGGTGACAAAAGGCAGTAGGAGAAAAGGAATGAGCTTATTGAACACTAACGCATGTTAACATGTCACAGTAGAGACACAAAACAAACATATGAACCTGAACATTAGCATAATATGGCTGTGTACATTTCATTTAGCTGGGGCTTTTATCAAGAGGAACATGCATTCATACCAGAGAGAAAACTGGTAGTAATGTATTGTCTTACAAAGGGGCCTGGTTACTTTTTTAAATCTTATATCTTAAATCTTGATATCCACTTTTCTATACTGTCATTCTGTGTTTCTGCTTCATCAGCTGTTAGACAATATTCCCCTTCCTCATGTTGTTCCCTGTCTCCCCCCCCCAGGCCTCGTTCCAGAGCTCTCCCCAGGGCGCCCCTCGCCACGGCTTCCTCCCCCACAGCCAGGGCGGGCAGAGGTTCTACCACCACGGGAAGTAACCCCCCTTCATCACCTCCACTTCACTCAAGAGAACCCTTTCGACAAGTAATTGCTTGATTTCAGCAGAAAAAGTCATTATCGTGCCATCTGATTTGTGTTTTATATTCTGTACAGTTTGTTTTTTGGACTTTCCTAATGTGATCTGCTGATAACATAGCTTCTGTAACCTTTTTCTTTTTTACAAAACTCAATTTGTAAAATAATTTGATATATTAAATACACTGTACAGCAGGTGCGATTGTGCACTAAAATGTTAATATCTTCTGGAAACAGCTTATTCTTTGTATACTAATATTCATTATTGTCAGTGGAGGATTCAGTGTTTGCGCAGTGGCTTTAGAGGAAGAACATGTGGATTCAATCAACATGTGGATTAAATCAACATGTTTCCGCTGAAAAGTCACGCTCACACTGATGAAGACCACTGAAACTGAAAGACTCTATTTCACTGTGTTGCTGACTCCTTGAATTGTGTTTAGTTACCGCAAATTAAATTCAAATGACTTTTCTGACAAAACAATGGAGCTTTCCGGTGTTTTCCTCTTCTACAGAAGTCGGCTGTTTTAACACTTTTAAGGTTGCTAAATAAAAACTATAAGCAAACGCCAAGTCCAACTGTTTTCTCATTTATTTATTTTGAGACATTTTTCACAGTTTGGCTTTTTCTGTATGAACACAAAGAAAAAGGATACCAAACTGCCACGAGTTATCTTCTCCTAACTCAGCGCTCAGGACTCAGGTCAAATGAAACCTGACTCACTTTCAGCAAAAGGCTTTCTGAAAAGGGGCTTTGAAAGACTTTGAAACAGTTGGCCGTGTGTTCTTGTTGCTAGGTTTCTTTCTTTTGGAGACAAAGAGACTGAACCTTGGTGTGCCATGTAGGTATGGACTCATTTCAGGGGATGAACTAAACAGCAGGAGGGCCCTACAGAAAATATGTACTGTATGGCAGCCACTGAACAAGCCTTAAAGGTCCCATGTCAGGCTTTTCTGGTTATTACCCGTCCCCTTGTGTGTTATGTAGCTTTGTATGCATGTAAACGGTGTGCAAAGTCACAAACCCTCAAAGTACACCCTGTAGAGAGTAAAACTCTAACACAGAAAAGACCTGTCTATGCTGCCCCAGAACGCCTCGTTGGACATTTCCATTTTTTTCTTCATGGGTATAGTGACGTTACGTTACACACACACACACACACACTCAATCTTTTCTCAGCTGCAGCTCTGGGGATTTCAGCCTGGGACGCGGCGAGGCTGGGGGTGTGTTTGCTCGGGCTGGTTTCGGGCTGTGTCTCGCTTTCTCGCAGACGGCCACTGGGCTCACAGGGAGGGGAGGGGGCAGGAGCTCCAACAAGCCATTTAGGACAGAGAAAGAATACACATACTTTACAGAGATGCTGTATGAGAAACCAATGTGAGTTTGGAAATTTGAACAATGTAAATCTATTCTAGTAGACCTCAACAATGGAATTATGATCAGTAGAAATGGCCATGACATGGGACCTTTAAATGTCCTTCATACAACAGGAACGTATAAAAACATGACCCTTTTTCCCTGATGATAGGAAGCTACTGTTTACAGACCCATCAGTCATTGCTAAGAGACCTTCTTTCACACCTTTTTATCTATTTACATCGTCGTCCAGACTTGTGTGGTTTGTACATAGAGAATCTTTAACGTTAGACATTTCCAATGATCTATAATCTATAATAATAATTTGTATTATTATTCTGATTATTGTTTTATATATTTGTAATGTATTATTACAAATATATTTGGAAGGAAAAGTCAACTTTCACTCATTAACTTTTTAAGTCCATTAGACTGCTAAAACAGTGACGTAATTATACACTCTTATTTTGAAGGTGCAGTTGGAACGTTTCCGGTCTCTCTTCTTAGCTTGACGCTGCTCTAATGCCCGTGAGACAAACTTCAACAATTTGCATGCGGTGCTTTTTATTCTAGTGCTGCTTGAAAATGCAGGTGTTCTGGATTTATTTAATTTGCATGGAGCTTCTACTAAATTTTCTTAATAAGTATTTCGTTTGTTAAATAAAATAAAGTGGTTGAGTTTAGCTGCCATAGGTCTGAGACACTAGAGCAGGGGTCGGCAACCTTTTTGATATGAAGTGCCATTTAAAAAAAAAAATTGTTATCAGCGTGCCAACGATCGAGAATTATCAACGGGGGGGGTTGGCGTTGAGGAGCTTGACGCTCGTCCACTATCAGCAGGAGGGCGGGGAGCCTCGCTGCGGGGAAGCAGTGTGTGGACCTGTCAGCACAACTTACATGATGCCGAATTTAACAAACACATTTAAATAATTGGTTTAAACGGCATAATAAGGACGATCGTCCGTTCTGTGATTCTCCAGAGCACACATGTTATGATATTAGGGTCATGCAGAGTGAGATGAGATCGCTGTCCCTTTAAGAGAGAGAGAGAGAGAGAGAGAGAGAGAGAGAGAGGGGTGTGGCTTGTGCATGTGTGTTTGTGGATGGTAGAGCGACAGTGAGAGAACGTGTGTATGTTTCTGGAAGTGAAACGAGGAAGCAGAAAAACAGAGGTCTGTGATGTATTTTGTGAAACAGAAGAACAGCTAAATAAATGCAACGGCCTCCCAAGAAGAGCTCGCCTCTCTCCAGTCATTTAAGCTAAAGTGGGTTATTGAACCTGAAGCTTGTTGCTTCTGCCCNAGGCTGAATACTCTGAACTGCTCTTTGGTGCATAAACACACACAACAGTCAGAGTTTTTTCCCCCCCATAACCCGAAGGCGTAGGGAGGCAACCCTCTCGTCCACTGGGGTAGACTCCAACAACGAAGCACCCAACCGGGGACTTGTGAGTATCCCCACACCCGCCCGGCGCCTCACACCTTGAGCAACTCCGGAGAAGAATAGAGTCCAACCCCTATCCAGAAGTAAGGTTCCAGAGCCGACGCTGTGCGTAGAGGTGAGCCCAACCAGATCCAACTGGTAACGCTCCACCTCCCGCACAAGCTCCGACTCCTTCCCCCCCAGAGAGGTGACGTTCCACGTCCCCAAAGCCAGCTTCTGTCGCCCGGGTCTGGTCCGTCGAGACCCTCTGCCTTCACTGCCACCCGTCTGGCAGCGCACCCGACCCCATCGCTGTTTCCCGTAGGTGGTGGGCCCGCGGGACGGAGAAGCGGAGGTGTTGCCCACGTCGCCTTTTCGGGCTGTGCCCGGCCGGGCTCCGTGGCACAGCTAAACGTAATTGAGAATGCAGTTTAGTTCTGTGGGAACATAATTTTTAGAAGACAGGGTTGCCTTCTCTGTACCCCATCCTGTATTCAAAATATTACACAACAGTAAAAGCACTCATTATGGCCCATTTCATCATAGATCATGTGTTAATCACTTACATACTGTGTCTTGTGAAGGTGGATCTCATTTACATTTTTCAATATATTTCTTGGTAGCTTATCCTGCGTATAATAATATATCTTAATTTATTCATAGTGATTATATTTAGAATTGAAAATGGGATTGTGAAAAGTAACTTTAATTAGCAAAAACATGCAGTGGAACAAAACATACAATATGTGCCCATAACATGTAGCAAAGTAGAACATTTGCATACAATGAAAAATACTCCAAATGTTTATATTTTCAGTACTTCAGTAAATGTACCTGACACCAAGAGGTAGAGGGTAGTAAGTGAGGGATGGATAAATGGGTGGGAAACTTGACATTATGTATTTTATTATTTAACAATAAAATAATCTATTGGAAAAATCTAACTTTACCTCCAAAAATGGCAAAAAATGAACCCCTCTCTAGGTTGAATGTGAAAAAAGTTCTTAAGACTTGGATGGATGTCTTGGATTCTTGTTTTGCACTTCCCTTTTCCCTCTAGAAACAGAGGGGAGTGTTTAATGGGCTCAGTGCTGAGTGTTGGACTAAGTGTCTGCACCACAGCTCTACATGTCCCAGGCGTCCTGTCCCCAAAGCTTTTATTCCATCTCGGGCCATTGCTTTACAACCGTGCTTATAAATGCTCGGGTCATGGTCACAAGCCCTCACAGGCCCCGACAGGCTCATCAGCCCTTGGATAAACACACAGAGAATGTCCCACTCGGCTACGCACCAAGACAATGATAGAGACAGAGTGTGTGTGTGTGTGTGTGTGTGTGTGTGTGTGTGTGTGTGTGTGTGTGTGTGTGTGTGTGTCACTCTAACAGACACAAACTCACAGTGAGCCTGCAGGGTTATGGGAGACAGGAGAGTGGGTGCTTTACTTAGCAACACTGCTGGCTCCACACACAGATGCTAAATGGGTGAACAGTTTTTAAAATAGCTTATTTTGTCTCTTTTGTACAACAACAAATTTAATTATCAAGGGGAGACACTTCATGTGATTACAGTAAATTAAAGAACACATATAATCGTATCAGTATGTAGTGTCTCTACTTTAAAGAGTCCTCTCCTGCTGATGTTCAGGTGTATATCAGTGTGTAGTGTCTCTACTTTAAAGAGTCCTCTCCTGCTGATGTTCAGGTGTATATCAGTATGTAGTGTCTCTACTTTAAAGAGTCCTCTCCTGCTGATGTTCAGGTGTATATCAGTATGTAGTGTCTCTACTTTAAAGAGTCCTCTCCTGCTGATGTTCAGGTGTATATCAGTATGTAGTGTCTCTACTTTTAAGAGTCCTCTCCTGTTGATGTTCAGGTGTATATCAGTATGTAGTGTCTCTACTTTAAAGAGTCCTCTCCTGCTGATGTTCAGGTGTATATCAGTATGTAGTGCCTCTACTTTAAAGAGTCCCCTCCTGCTGATGTTCAGGTGTATATCAGTATGTAGTGCCTCTACTTTAAAGAGTCCCCTCCTGCTGATGTTCAGGTGTATATCAGTATGTAGTGTCTCTACTGGGACATGTCTCCATGCTTTATTAATGTTCACAAAGCTCTTTATTTTTCTCATACTGCCTGTGCTGCCTATTTTCACCCTCTGTCTGAAACCCGCCTGTCTGTCCCGCCCCTTAGCATATTACATTCAATGTGATTGATCAAGCCACTATACCTTTCCTTGGTGCAAGAATACCTGCTAGCGTCTTTGCTCTGGCCCCTCTCAATGAAAAGGACGCATGTGTTGCGCAAACAACTGCTTTTCCCCAAAATGATTAATAATGGGTTATCTTATATCTTCTTCTTTATTACAGTGACGTTTTACAGAGGTAATGTGGTACCTTTCTTAGTATTAATACATATACATCAGCCTTTAACAAATATATAAAGTTATATTATCTAGGCTGTGAACGGAAGGTGAATCTAGTGAATCTAGGCTGTGAATCAGGAGGATACTTCAGAATAGAGAAAGGAATTAAACTAAAACGTTTGTTGTGTGTAAGTGCTACTGAAGTGACAAATACAACCGTAACATTCTATACATGTTGCAACCCACTACAGGTGAAAAGGGATAAAACACTGGCTGAAAAAAAACATATAATGTAAGCAAAAGGCTCAAAAGAGTGATCAATTCATTTAAAACTGCGTAAAAACGTCTGTCTGCTCTGAGTTGTCATTTGTTACTGTCATGCTGTGAGAGTGTCTTGTACACTTCATGTAGAATAAATCACAAAGCAAACGGACTGTGATGTTGATAAGAGCTTAATGAGCGTCTGTGTCCCACAAAGAGAGACTTAAGTTTGTCTTTCTGCCTGGCTGCTATCCATTTTTGTTTTTCTCTTAATGTTGGCAGACTAGGCAGATTATGCTATTGTTGCACTCAGTCGCTCTGACTAAGAGTGTCAGCTAAACGCCCGAAATGCAATATGTTAATATGGGGGGGAGGGGGAGATATTCACTCGATGGGGTTGTTGTTACTCTTTTATTCTGATTTGGAAAACATTCTGACATTTATTGGTATTTTCTTACACATGTCACAGTTTACTGTTCCTTTCACATAGGGAACTCATCATCCTTTTTTAAGGTGGAATTTTCGGTCACTTTGCAGGTTCTTGCTGGCTGATAGTCAGGGATGGAATGTCATGTCACCTTTTGCTACTTTATACTTTACTCCACTAAATATTGTAATTTTATTGCACAGTATTTTATAGCTTTAGTTACTTTACAGATTTTGAATATGAATACAAAATATAAATCATATATTAGTATAGGATAATCTATTGCATACAGTAATTCAAATGAACCCCTCTTTTACCAAGTGCAACATTGCAATCTAAAACGATGTGTCTTTAGCAGTCATTTCAAAATGTTATGTTGATGAAACTACACTGAAAAAACAGAGACACTGACTTCAAATAAATGTCAACGTTTCCGTTTTGTTCAGTGTATATTTAGCAGGACTTCTGTCTCACCCCCACTTTGTTCTTCTTTCCTCAGGATCTGAAGAAGGTGCTGTCTTTCCCCCCGTACCCTGGGGAGTTTCTGCACCCGGTCGTGTATGCCTGCACGGCGGTCATGTTGCTCTGCCTCTTCGCCTCCATCATCACCTACATAGTGCACCACAGGTAACAAAAAAAAGCTTTAAACTTTAATCTCTCATCACTTTTTCATTTCATGGTTTATTTTTGACTCCTCTGTCAGAGATCCTGGGTGTGAGTCAGATGCTTTAGGCTGGTGGGGGTAAAGCACTGCAGCCTGTCTGAGTAAGAGGATCTAAAACACAGATGTGTGTGTGCGTGTGTGTTTCAGAGCGGCTTTTAATGGATTTCTGAGGGGCATTTAGGCCACCTTTACTCCTATTATTCCATATGGAGATGAAGAATGTACTGTGGCTTTGCACTGTGGCATCTGTCTGCCCTTCATCAGCTGTTATGAAAGCTGGGGGGGGGGGCTGTCAGGCGCATTATTCCAGCACTGCAATTCTTATTCTTGTAGGGCGTAAGTCGCTTTATTCTCTGTGGCATTAATTTGGTACCATAGTATCTATCTTAACCCTCCTGTCGTGTTAGTTTTCCCCCCTTACTGTTGTGTTCCCGGTCTGTTTTAACTGCTCTTACATTAACACTGAAACCATTGAGCATCACCACATTTTATTCAACACCCTTTTAAGCTGTAAACAGTGTCTCAGACCACTGGTTTACTCGAATAACTGCAATGAATATACAAAGAATAGACACTGAAAATGTCTTCCAAAATTTACTTATTGTCGATTTGTGGGTGTGTACTATCTGATGAATGAACATAATCTAGGGTTACCCATTCATTTCCTATGGCGCCACTTTTCACCCGGGACATCATAGGTGTTACAAAGTTGACTAAATCACAAAAAATTGAATTGAATTGAATAAAAGTGGTGATCAGCAATGTTATATGTTCACAATCACAAGTCTTTAAAGCAACCAAATGTAAAACACAATGTTTATGATTGATGAAAGTAGTACATCGGTGAGATTGGACTACTTTTCAGTGAAAAAACTGAAACGTTGACTTTAGTTAAATGTATGATGTCAAAAGGTTTCACATACATATATTAGGCTAGTTGAAAGCAATAACATAAGTTATAAAAAAATATTAGGCTCAACTTAATTATTGCTTTAAACTAACCTGATACAGTGATGTGAAATGTGTTGACACAATACATTTAATTAAAGTCAACGATTTAGTTTTCGGAGTGAGGGTTAATCTAAAATAAATGTTTCGTAAGCAACAATTTTCTAGAATAACACAATGTTCTCTACAGATGGTTTGGTTTCATTTGTCCGTACTGTGACTGAAGCGCAGTCATGTATCAAAGTGTGTGTGTGTGGACGCGCAGCAGCGTTTGCCACCATGTGTGACACCTGGGACGGAGACAGGGTGCGTCCCTCTGCAGTCAGACAGCGATGACAGCAGCTGGGCTCCAAACAGCAGCAGCATCACTTACTGTCGCCCGGCACTGCAGTATTGACTGGAGAAGAAAAATATGAAAATACAGACATGAGCAATTTTGAAATTGAAGAAGATTGAGCTTTTTGATTAGAGTGGAATGTATTTATTTATTTAACCTTTATTTAACCAGATAAAAGCATTGAGATAAAATGTCATTTACAATGCTGACCTGGCCAAGAAAGCAGCAACGTTACACATTCTTACACATAACACAGACACATAAAATACAGAGAACAGAACTAAGTAAACAAAAGACAAAAAGCAGTCACTACATTGTGCACATTTGGGACAGTAAGGTGCACTACTGCAGCTAAGGACCTCTGACAACTTCAATTTAAAACAGGCTCTAGGGACAAGTGCCATCAGTTTGAGGCTTGTTTGAAGGTCATTCCAAGGACTTTTTCCAGCCTCAGTCCGCACAGCAGGTACCTGGAACCGTATCCAGGCACTGGTTCTGAGGTTGTAAGAGTCACAAACTGGGGCAAATCTGTCACATACAGTGGAAGCTTACCTAAAATGGCAATGACAAACCTTTTACGAGAAGAAGTTGAAAAACAACGTTTAAATCTGTAAAGGAAGCCAAGAGTGAATTTCCATTTCTTTGTTAGAACTTCAATGTGGTGTTTGAAGTTCAGATTACTGTCCAACCAAAAGCCCAGATATTTCTTTTGAGTATATATCGACAAACTCAACGGAGACGCCGTCAAGGGTGTCAATGGAGAGGCAAGAGGACGCTGACTTGGGAGCAAAAAGCATTGCTTTGGTTTTCTTACCGTTCAGTATCAGTTTGGAATCAAGAAGTGCATGCTGCAGCGTGATAAAGTCAGATTTTAAATTGGAAACGGCCATATCCAGAGAAGGAGCACATGAGTATACAATAGTGTCATCAGCATACATATGATAAGTAGAAAATGACAAATATTGTTTACATATAATAAAAAGAGAAATTTAAACAGAATACAAACACCACTGGATGTTCTGAGGGTTTGTGCAAGATTAGAGTTTCATTAGTTAAACTCAATACAAAAATAAATAATACATACAGTTAATAGTCAATATTAGTGCTAAACTATGGTGGCTGTAAAATAACAGTGTTGAATTTAAGTTGATATATGAAAGTGCTGGTATTTTAGTAGACTTGTAAACGTATTTCAAATCTACTGTATAAGGACAGGACTCTTTATGTTGTTCTACTTGCAAAATGGACGAGTGTGATGTCCAAATCTCCGTGAGCACTACAATTGGTAAAGAAAAATGGGTAACACTTTATGGTAAGGGTACATGAATCATCATGAATTCATGCATGAAAAAGCATGAATTCATTAATGTAGTACTTCATGAACTATCAGTAATGTATAAGGATTAATAGTATCTCATGCATGACTTAATGCAGGAACAATACCTTAATTAATGCATCAACTAGTGGCGAGCCGTGACTTTTATACCTAGGCCCTCTGACCCCCACCCCTTCCCTCGAAAAAAAGAAAAAAGAAGAGTTAATACGTCACAGCGTATACTTCAGCGGAATATCAAAACAGCGGCACGGGGTGCAAAACTCATCAATGACACCTATCATGACAGGGCAGGGCACCCACAGCCAAGTAACAATTACAAATGAATTAAGTCGGCACACATTGAAAATGACTTAGGCCTACCTTTGATGATCAAATCACTCAAACACAAAGTCCATCCTCCTGTCCTTTTGGATGAAGCACTTGCGGGTCATTCAGCTGATCCTTTGCCACTCCAATTTATCATTGTAACTCAATCTTGAAAATGACTCGGTTAATAATTTCGCAACGATGTCATCACTATCACTGAAGTGAGCCATCATGAACAAACTTATGCAAATCATAAATCTATCGACCATAAATCTATCGATTAGATTTATGATTCGAAAATAATAAAAGTAGGGTAGACATGTGGATATTATCCGGCTGAACAAAACGTGCATTTATCTAACAGGTTCGTTTTCCACAGACCTTATTTCAAGCTATTTTCCAAAATCCTATGGAGAAATCCCATAGTTTTTGTGTCGAGGGAACCCGAGCGCAGCTTACTTCCGGGTTTTAGGATGCGTCATTGCACCACTCCGTGGGTGTTTCTCAATGTCGAGGACGTTTCCTTGGAAGGACATGTCTTCCGAGTCACTTCCTTCCTAGCCTCGGAAAACGAAGAATGGTGGAACAGGTGTGCAGGTGTGCGTCAAATACTAGGACCTGCCTTAAATGGAATGCGATTTCCGCCAAAGATTTGGAAATTGGTCCGTGCGCAAAGCATTGTGGGGATTTTAAGACCGCGGAGGATACACATGTGCAGCCTCAAAATGTCTCGCTACGAAGGACGCCAGGCTCGGTAGAATTCCAATAAGCCTAGACATTGGAAAAGTCCTTCGGCGGGACTCAATGACGTAGCATACTTGACATAGTGGCTCTGGAGCATCCTTCCTTGACATTGACAAACACCCAGTAACACACATGCATCAACTTCACAGCGGGCGGAACTTGTCATAAAGTCTGCGATAACAAAGCCCACCCATTTAGAGGGAAGATATGATTGGTCAACTGTACTGTAATTTGACATTACTCTCTCATTGCGTCACTATAGCTGGCCCTCTGTGAATTTACAGCAGGACCACCAAGCTCTCCCGTCTTCACAGTAACTCGCAGAGACGAGCTTCTTTCATTTAACCCTTCACATTCAAACAGAAACTGAACAGGCAGATTCAAAGGATTTCTTTCTTTGGAAATGTTATTTTAAATTCAATTAAATCAAGTTATTTTGATAAAACTAATTAAAAATATAACTAAAATAGTATTTTCTTTTTAAATGTTTTTTTTTTTTTAATGTTTTCAAATATTATTTTTTAGAATATCTTAGTTCCTCAGAGAGGACACGCGGACACATATCTAAGACAAGATACAAGGAAATAGATATTTAGCCCAGCATCAAAATCACTAAAGATAACATGCTGAGGACTCTTTAACGAATATTTAACCTGGTAGTAAGTCTTTATTTAATTTGAGGATTGACTCATCATTCCCTTTAACATTGAGAATCACATGGCAATGCAGTCAAAATTATCACAATCAGTTTTTTCCCCCAAATTGTGCAGCTCTATTGTTATATGCTGAATAGTTAAGCATCTGAACAGAAAAGGGAAAACCAAAAAAGGTAAAATAGGGCCCCTTTAAATGCGACAGAGAGAAACCTTTCATTTGGTTTGGTCTGTCAGTAGGCTTTACATTTGATTCACTTACTACCACCACTATGCAGACGCTTTTAATTTCACTAGAACTGCGAGTGTCTATTCGTGCATATTTTTCTGAATTTGACTGTTTTTACAGATTAAAGGAATGATTGACAGACTGATAAACAACAGAGTATCCAAATAATTGAAAGTCTATGACTAATTTGCATAGAAAGTTGCTGATTGTGCACCAAATGTGTGCATATTACCATATTTGAATATATGCATATAACATGCGTGCACTATTTACTTGGCAGCATAGTTAGGGTGCATTCAAACTTTGATACAACAATTATCCCATATGTTTGTATTTTGTATAATTGTTGAAGGTTAAGAGGCTTCAAAAGCTTCACAATCCTTTTGAAAATGTAAATCCGGCCCTAAGTATGTTTACATGCACATAAGTGTCCCAGTACTACCCTAGTCTTGTTCATATTTGGCATGATGTCCATTCATGCAACATTATCCTGATTTCTTTGAAAGTACGCCAGCTAGTACACCAATGTCTTCCAAAAACAGAGAAAGGGCTTATCCAAGTTACTATAACCAGGATCACCATGTGTAAAACATAACTGTCTTCCTCCAAAATACAAAACGTGTTTGCATAATGTAAGCACACTCATTCATCAAAAAGCGCTTTGCAGAGCAGAAACACATTAATTCCAGTCCAAACTAGAGACCCATGTTTAAGAAATGAAGCCGGAGCTTTTGTGGTGTCTGTCACACACAGGGGAGAGTTAGAGGCTTTTTTTTTCAAAGGCACTCACATTAACAAAATCCAACACCTCCTCATCCTCCACACCGCCCTCAAGGCACTTCCCAGCAGTAAAACACATCTCTGTTTAGTAACACTTTGGTTATGTAGTATCACTCCCGCTGACTGACAGTATCGGAGCGGAGAAGCGTCGGGCCGCGTGTTAAATGGGCAGAATGTGAGGGAGGCTGTTCAAGGATAAGCACAGTGGGTTAACTTGTGCATGTTTAAACAAGCCACTTTCTCACTTAAAAAAACATACGGACATCCATAAAAATATTCCTGCAATGATGATTTCAACATATGAGCCGAAAGAAAATAAAGGTGTTTGTCATTGTTCTATATTGAAATCATATTGCCGGCCTCGTTGCTGCCAGTTAGCGTCCTTTTTTCTCTGTTATATTAGCACGTAAACACATCCATTCTCTAATCTAAAGGTGCAATTTGTAAGATAAAGCCAGACATTTCATCTCAAACGTACAATAAATTCACTCAAATTATCAACGTGAAGGGGCTGCAGTGTTGACATCATGTCAAAGTGATCTGTGTTTTGTGTCTCGGAGATAGCCTATGAAATTAGCATGCTAATCGACTAGCCAACAGCCTGACTTGTGCTGTATAGTATTACCACTTGTTCCTCAAGATGCAACAGTTAGTCAATATGGCGCCAGTCAGCGCAGTTAGCAGTTAGCAGTTAGCTTGAATTCTGCCGGAACAAACCTCAGCAAATAAAAGTAAATATTTTAAGAAAGCTGCTCAAGCTGCATTCACGTGATACACGATTTGCTCACCGCTAGGTTTTAGCGCAGAGCCTTGCGGTCAAAACAGCTGGTTAAGTTTAATTTATATGCTAATGCTAATTTACCGCTTCATACAGCTGTCATATGAGTGTGTGTTGAAAAGTCAAAGGTAAAAGGGGTCAAAGTTGAAATAATTTTTACTTTGAGTGCTCAATGACAGTTTTGGGTAGAGCTTCCGCTTATTTGGGCTATACCGCCAGTCGTGTGAATGCAGTTCCAAAGGTTTGATGGAATTTTGCTTATCCTTGCCCTGTTCTTAGTAATTTATTTTAAACTGATGATGATACATTTAGTTTGTATGACTAGCAGAGGTGAAACGCTGCCTCCACCTCTTTGTAACCTTAGCAGCCCTGTTACCTTTGCTTTATGGCACTTATCAGCGTGTGTGTCTCCCACCAATGAAACCTGCCCATTGTGTATTGTGTCATGTTAGTTATACTGTCCATAGCTTAATGGTTTTTTACAGTTGGCTCAGCAGTGGGTGTAGGGGTGAGGGAGCAGATGCAGAGAGAGGATCCCCCCCCCCCACCTTCTGGGAGATGGGGATGTGGAGGGTTGCCAGGTTAATGTACTTGACCCAATGAAAGCCTGGAGCAGAGCCTATGAAAACCCTCTTCTAGGCAGGCCAGGAGCCGGCCTGATTTATGGCCCCTTTGCTGAATGGAGTTCAGCACTTGCACCGCGGCAGAGGCATCGACGGCAGCAGCTTTTACTCCCCCNCCCCCCCCACCGGCCCCAGACACGCCTCATAGTTCACTGCTGAGCCACTGCTTCATCTACAGTTGGCTCACGTGCAGCCGGGGCTCCGCTCCTCCATTTTGGGGAGTGCAGATTTCCAGCACAAGGTTATATAATTTCAAATGGTGACAGTGTCTGTATGGAAGAAAAGGAAAGAGGGGAGGGGGGGGGCTGACACAGGAAAGTAATTAAAAGAATGGATGGTCTGTTAATTCACACCCGTGCGACAAATATGTTAGCATTGTCTGACCTAGTTAGCCTATTTCCTAACAGCTGGGAGGAAAATGGTAATGTGGGTTAAGTGGCCTGCCCAAGAGTGTTTAACCCCCCCAGCTAATGCCATATTTCCCAGGGTGGATATGAGTGCATGGTTTTACATCGTGAAAACTTCAATTGGCCCAGCCAACTGGAAGCAATCTCTTTTATTTCATCATCAAACCAGCGGAGTGAGTCTTATTTGTGTGCATTAACCACAAATACGGGAAGGTTGTGCCCTGAATGACACACTGAACCCTTATCTCATGTGAACTGCGAGAAGCCCTTGTCTTGAGGTCCATTTTAAATGAAATAGTGTGACCATTAAGGTAACCGGGGTTTTAAATTATACAAAATTCCTTCCCAGGGTTTCTGTGGATCATTAAAATGTACTAAAATGTGTCTTTAACTCTCAATAAACGTATTTAAATGAATTTTTAAAATGCTTAGACATGGCAACTACGTTTTTTATGAAGCATTTTCTTTTCTGACATTGCCATTTTTAAATCTTGAAATAACAGTTTTTAAAAATAATTTACTAAAAACTTTTAGGTCACACAGATCAGAATAGTAGAACCATCAACAATCGCAAAGAGTAGATTTGGGAGTTTAATAAAAATGTGTTTTTCAACTAAGATTTTCTTCAATGTATATAAGATGCCCGTTGTGTTAGCGGTGACTGTTCCAAACTCGGCACATATTTTTGTCACAGGCATTCTTGTAATCTAAATGTTCCACTATGAACAAAATGTTTTTTTTAATCTGGATTTATAAAACCCTTATAAGAGTCAACGCAAAAACTGTATTTTATATTAAAAAGATTCTAAGTTTGTCATTGTGGACATTTCCCAGCATGCACCAGGGACACAGACATTTGAATAATTGTGTTCCTGTACTGGTTCTGGTGTAATTGTGTTTAACAATGTGTTCTACAACTGTTCCAAAATGGCCTTGTAATACACACAATTGAATGTGGTAAGAACATGAGTGATGTTGTTTGTATGATTGACGATGCTAACCAATTACAATATTAGACCTTTAGTATACGAATATTTTTGGCCTAAATACAAGAGAAATTATTTTTTATTAGAAATGAATTACTCAACATGAAAATAGTTATTGTTGAGTCAAGGTTGAAATGTTTTCAGTATAGAAAGTATTCTGTTATTCAGCACATATATTGGTGTGGGTTTGTAAAGAGCTGTTTAGACATCTTAAACTCTGCGAGCAGCACCCCCCAGGCTCTCCTGTGGTTGTTAATCTATAACGCAGAAGCAAGTTAAAATAAATGATGCAGACCTTGAAAAAGCCTGGCTTAAATCGTACTTGAAGTGACTAATGGGCAATACACCTTGAAAACTGCATCTAAATGAGATGTATGATAGAGCTCTGTGACGTGTGGTGTTTACCTGCTAATTCTTTTGATTCTCGGTCTCTCTTGGCAGCGCGATCCGCATCAGTCGGAAGGGATGGCACATGCTTCTCAACTTCTGTTTCCACACGGCGCTGACCTTTGCTGTGTTTGCCGGCGGCATCAATCGAATCAAATACCCCATCATCTGTCAAGCAGTAAGTGCATTCTCTTTTCATTCATCCACTCTCAAAGCTTTTCAGAAAATGGATTATGAATGTCCACTCAGGTGTTGTCAACCACAGCCTCTAGTGCAGTATGTGGACGTATAGTAACCCAGCATTATGTGTCTTTCATGCTTCAGCTGCATGAATGATCTGGTCCCTCTCATGGTTAAGTGTTGACACAATGAGCCACTATGGTTCAGGGTCTTCCGTCATGAATGCACTTACTCTCTGGCCCTCTATTGTCCGTGTTGTTGCCTGGGGTTAATGGTGGGCCATATTGCCCAGTGTTATATCATTTTTCTGGGCATTCACGAAAGTGGTATGTAAAACATTTTTATTGTCATTAGAATTCAATACGAAACAGTTTTCCATGGCATAATCTTGCATAATTACCACATTACATAACAGTTTTTGCGTCATGTTTTTCTGGAACAATGATCGTGGGATTATACGAGGGCTGTCAATCGATTAAAATATTTAATTTTGATTAATCGTTTTGATTTCCATAGTTAACTTTTGATTAATTGCGATGTAATACTCAGTGTTTAATCAACATGGGAGTAGACAAATGTGATTGTTTCTTAAAAATGTATGTGTATTACTATTGCAACAATCCAACTGGGGAACTGTCCTTTCTCCTTTTGAGCTTTTTTCTGGTGTTTAGTTTAGTGGTGTTAAAAGGAAGTTGCATTAACGCATTATTATCGCATTACCTTTGAAAGCCCTAGATTATACATTATATAACTTATTTCGTCAGGTTCACAATCACATCAACAATGCATGTGTTTGATGAAGGATCTGGAGATTATGGTAAATACACCAAATATTGCAGGTCATGGAGCAACCTGGAGATTTGGGATGTCAGGATACATTTGAAACAGGTCAGAGAAACGCTTTATTGCCTGCTGGCACCATACTATTTTCAGTTTGTTATTCATCAAGAATGTGGGTGGAAAACACGATACAGCATCTTTCAGATTTGTATTATGTAAGAAGATGAATACTTTTTATTTTATTTTGGGGTGTACTGTCCCGTTAAGGTAGTCAAGACTTTTGTCAAGATAAGGTGTAGGTGTCAAAAAGAGCGTGAATAAAAATAATGTTTCCTTTTTTACTTTTCCTCATGGGTGAAAAGCCATATTTACGTGTTGGATTTCCTTTCCATGGGATTGATAGCTGGCCTTGTTCAGGTTTTTCGCATTAAACATCGGCTGGAAAAGAGCATCCTCCACTGCCAGCTCACCTCAGTGGGGGTGCATTTACCGTACTTAGGCGCAAAGAGATTGATGTACACTTCCACTTTTCACTCAGTTTCAAATGCCTTCACTCAGTCCCTGTTCTCCGTCAATGGGCCGTGTTCTCTCCCTTCACTGTGAACTGCAGTGGGTTTGGGACTTAGCTGTGTCTTCTGCTGTCACAAGCACTTTAGGTGGCCCCTTTATTCCACAGAGTAAAGACTCAGACTCTCCGCGTTGAAACGGAGAGCGTCATTTTTCATGTCAGAGCTGCCAAGCACAGGTGACAGGGAAGTCTGTAAGAAGTCACCACATGTGTCACAGCCGACAAGTCTTCCTCCACAGCTGCTGACAGGCATATTGAGGATCTGGGTTTTTACTCAAAATACTTCCCACCACTCCAAGATCGAAAGACGTTGACGCCAAAAGGCAGTTTTAATAGTGTACTGATACTATAAATCATCACCATTTCCTAATCAGGCATATTTAATTGTTTATCAATCAATCAATGAAAATACTGTATTAATCCCAGGGGGAAATTAAGTTTCTTGACGTGGCACCATATTAGAATAAAAATAGACTCAGGCTTATTGTGAAGACATGGTGAAGTTGTCGGTCATGTTTTCAAAAGCACATTAACATAGACTCCTAAGTAATGTGGTCCGTCTGACTCCTAGCTAACGCCGTTAGCTTGTCCATTCCATTAACCATGACCTTGCATTGCCCATGATCAGAGGGGGGAGCAATGGGCTTTATCTAATTTTCTCCATACATCTGGACCCATCTCACCTCCTTTTCTCTTTTGTTAACCCATGCATCCTCTGTGTCCTTCTTTAGGTTTCAGTGCTGATCGCAGTGTTCAGACCACTTTGCTAGCAGGTTTTAGCGTGATTAGCTTCTCCCTGGTATAAACAAGTCAGCCATGTGGTTGCTGCGCAACAGCGGCATGGATGCATCACAACAGCAACTCAACAACCAAGCAAATAAATCAAATGAGTATAGCTTAATAAGTTACTAATAGAAGTTATCCACAGAAAATTAAGATCAGATTAAATAAGAAAGCTACACGTTGAAATAAGTACAAATCTAGCAAGACCAACTGCAACAGACTCTACGGTTGGCGCATGCGCACTGAATCTAAAATATGAAGTAGCAGGAGATAAGAAACTTGAGATTGCGACACAGAAATGTGTGTGTATGTATCAGTGGCGAACCGTCAAGGCCTCAAGGTATTCAGAGAAATCAAACAAAAAAATCTATTTAATTATATAATTAAAATGTAATAAAATGTATATAAAATGAATAAATGAGAATCGTATCTGTGTTGTTGATCTGAAATATTACAGTGTTACGTTGATTTGTTTGTCCTTCTTGGTCCATGCACTACGCATAACAGTGGTTTTGTGTTAGAAAAGAAATGCAACCAATCAGATATTTTTCTGGGTCTCGGGGTAGAATATCCTTCGCGCGGCGGCAGGTGTGTTTGTGTCTACAGAAGGTCCAGTTGTGATAGACACAGTTCACCACTGGTGTGTGTGTGTGTGTGTGTGTGTGTGTGTGTGTGTGTGTGTGTGTGTGTGTGTGTGTGTGTGTGTGTGTGTGTGTGTGTGTGTGTGTGTGTGTGTGTGCGTGCGTGCGTGCGTGCGTGCGTGCGTGCGTGCGTGCGTGCGTGCGTGCGTGCGTGCGTGTGTTTAACGATTTGAGTTGCACAAAAAACTCTGGTTTATTGAGTCATCCCTTTTCCAAACAAATACAATTATACAGCTTAAATATGAACATTGATAATTAGGACCAATATACAAAATTACTCAAGCTCAAATCACTACAAAGATGTGTTAAATATTAAATAAGACACTTGTGAGGTGGGGGCCATTGGGGGGGCCAGCAGTTGCATCAGTGTGGTGGCACTGCTACTGACCTCTGATGAAATACCTGTGTCTTAAGCAGCAGAATCCTCCTGTATGTTCCCAGCAGTACAGAACTGCTCGATGCCAGGTGTTGTGCAGGTGCAGTTTTCCCTGAGAACAGCTGCGTGCTGCTGCAGCTGAAAAGAGAGCAACACCACGAGAGTGAACAGTAAACAGAGAAGATGTGAAACAATGAGCCGGAGCTCATTTCCATGACTTTTCCTAAACTTTTGGAAAAATATTGTTTTCCATAACTTTTCCAGGGCCTGGAATTAGCATTTTGAATTTCCATGACTTTTCTAGGTTTTTAATGACCGTAAGAACCCTGACACACATAGCTCTGCTCAGACAGATTTATTGTAAATATCACACACCATAATATTGACAGAAATTGAATTAAACCTCTCCTACCAGTATTCAGAGGCCAGTTAACATAACAACATAACAGTGCACTCACACACAAACTCTCAGTAAACAAAATTGAAAAGGTCTTTTATCTTACTTTAAAAGTGCTTCGTTATTTTTTTGAAAAACTGTGTCTTCTTTTCTGCCTGACTTTTCAAGGTATTTATCTTCTGCTTGCGAAGTTCCGTACCTTTTGGGAAGTCCTGGTCGATGTAGCATGGAGTCAGGT